TGTATCTGCCTTAAAGTCTATTTTGTCTAATATACATTAAGTTGTAAAGCTATCATTTTATTTTGTGCTTATTATTTGTCCTGCATGTTTGGTTTCTTTAATTCTCTTTTAGTGTCTTCTTTCACAAATCATTTCATTATTCTCCCTCCATTCCTTTGGAATTTGTCCAAATATGTGCATTTAATCAACACCTTTACCCTCCTCCTGGATAATACAAGATCTTTGAAAAACTAAACTCCACTTACCATCTTCCAACTTTTATATATTAGTTGCCAGGTGTTTTAATACTATCTTGCTTTAAGGAAAAAAACCTGCCCTAGCCAGTTTGGCTCAGTGGATAGAGCGTTGGCCTGCAGACCGAAGGGTCCTGGGTTGGATTCCAGTCAAGGGCACATACCTCGGTTGCAGGCTCCTCCCCGGCCTGGGCCCTCGTTGGGGTGTGTGTGCAGGAGGCAACCAATCAATGTATTTCTCTCACATAGATATTTCTGTCTTTCCCTCTCGTTTCCACTCTCTCTAAAAATAAATGGAAAAATATCCTCGGGTGAGGATTAAAAAAAAGAAAGAAAAAAACACCTAACACTATACAAGACATTAACATTATTGATTTATATAATCAGCACTCATTTAAATTCACTATATGTGTGTGTATGTATGTATACACACACACACACACACACACACACCTCTTTGTCTGCTAGGGGCAACTCTCTCAGCTTTCATTATTCTGAAAATGTCCATATTTTTCCTCATTCTTGAAGGAGACAAACAGACGCACACACACGTAAACAGATGAGATATGAATCTCATATCTTTATCTATACACACGTAATACAGAAGTCTAGGTTGGGGGTTGTTAATTTTTGCACTCTGAGCAAATCATTCCAGTGTCTTTGGCTTGTACTGTTGCAGATAAGAAGCCATGTGTCAGTCTAATGCCCCTCCTTTCACAGAAATGTCTTTTTTCTGTGAAATCTGCTCTTAAGATTTTTCTGTTCGTCTTTGGTTTTCTGCAGTTTTGCTCTTTTATGTCTAGTTTGAATTTCTATTTTATTTATCTTGGGATTTTTTGTGTTTTAAAAAGTCTATAAAGAGGTGTCTTTCATCTTTTCCTACTTTGTCCTCCGAGGTGCTTAACTTTCCTTCCATATTTTTTGTCTTTGTGAACTATATTCTGAATTAATTTCTTCTGACTGTTTCCAGTTCATGGATTCTCTTTTCAGCTGGTTCATCTATTGTTAAATCTAATCATTTAGTTTTTAATTATGGTCATTATATTTTTCTAGAAATTACTTTTGTCTTTTTCAAATCTGTGAGGGTATTTTTTTTAAGTTAAAAATCTGTACCTGATATTTCCATTGCCTAAAAATTCTTTGCAGATCTGATTCTGTGCCTGCTGTTTCTCAAGGCGCCTTGTTCCCTTATGTGAATATTTTAAGATAGCAAAATCATTATTTAAAAAATTGGAAATAACAAATCTAGCTTCAAATTCTATCAAATCTTTACAAGGGCAAAAACATGATAGTACTTACTAAACTGGAATTAACATCAAAACACAAAAAGCACAACAACCTTTTAACTCCAATCCAATCTTATTTTAACCAGAACTGCATAACAGGAATAATTTTATCATGGGTCATGACCTGAATTCTTATACATGAGATCAACTTAAATATGGTGCTTGTAAAAAGGTCACGATCTCATAATAAATATGGTGGAGGCCAATCATCACTCAAAGGTAGCTTTTTGAGACATTTTCGTATGGGCCCTTTTCCCCTTCTTTGTTCAGTAAAGATCACTTTGTTCCAGGGGTACACTTCTGGGGATTCTCCACATCTTCATGCAGAGGATCCTCTTCCTAGATGATGCCTTTGGTTTTGTTGGCATCTGTGTAGGAGAATTTGGGGGCCTGACCTGCCTCTGCCCAAAAAGACCTTACAGGTTTGGTTCTTGTGCTTCCCTCCCTTCAACGCTGTGGCACTGGGCACACTTCTCAATAGGAATCTTCTTGCCCTTCTTGATATCATGTTTTGAAGTTGGCTCTCTAGTTACCATGTGCTGGAAAGGCTCACCCAGCAGCTGATTATCTTGCTCTCATCTCTAGAATTTTTTAAATTTTTATTAAATTTATTGGGGTGACATTAGTTAATTCATCTTTAGAATTCTGATGCTGTGGTCTAAGTGATTCTCAATCCTGGCTGTGCATTGGAAGCTCCTAGCAGGGGTGGGGAATGTGCGGCCCGCAGGCCATATAAGTCCCAGGAAACCATTTGGTCTGGCCCTGCCAAGGCATTAGGGGTGAGTTAATTAAATGTTTGAACAAATATAAGAGGCTAATTTTTAAGTTGATAATTTTGAATGGCCAACAAATGATGTTATAAATATTCAAATGGTCCTTGGCAGAAAAATGGTGCCCCACCCTGACTTAAGGGGTGAATTTAAAGAGATAGATAAGTATGACTCTGACTTAGCAGCTCTGTACAAGGGTCTGTTCCCTGAACTTTGGACAAACACCCAGGGGATGGGGTTTGGGCCCTTTGATCTGCCTGCAGGAGCTAGGAAAGCAAGTGAGCGAAGGGTAAAAATAGCCAAAGGCAAAGCACAGAAGTTATCAGATCTGCCTTGGAAAAACTTGATCAGACCTGCAGAATCACCTGGCCAGGAGAAAAGTCTCTGAGAAGGAGGGAAAAGCAAAGCACTTATCTACACACACGTAATATAGACTTCTGTATGACGTGTGTGTAGATAAAAGATATGAGAGACTCATATCTCATCTGTTTACATGTGTGTGTGCGTCTGTCTCCTTCAAGAATGAGGAAACACATGGACATTTTCCAAATAATGAGAGCTGAGAGAGTTGCCCACAGCAGACAAGAAGTTATATATATGTGGTGAATTTAAAAGGTGCACACAATCAATTGTTCTCTAACCCAGTTCCTCGATTTTCCATTGTCTGAAAAGTCCTCCTCATGGAGATGACTTTTTCAATCTCGTGTTCTCTTCCAGTTTTTTTTTTTTTAATATATTTTATTGATTTTTTACAGAGAGGAAGGGAGAGAGATAGAGAGTTAGAAACATCGATGAGAGAGAAACATCGATCAGCTGCCTCCTGCGCATCTCCTACTGGGGATGTGCCCGCAACCCAGGTACATGCCCTTGACCAGAATCGAACCTGGGACCTTTCAGTCCGCAGGTCGACGCTCTATCCACTGAGCCAAACCGGTTTCTGCTCTCTTCCAGTTTTAATTTTATTAACTGTCCCTTATCTTTAAAGCATCACTCATTTTTATAAGACCTCTATAAGCTCAAGCAGAATGAACATTGTCCAACCCATATCCTATATAATAAAAGCCTAATATGCAAATCAACTGAACAGTGGAATGACCAGTAGGAGGGGGGCAGGGCCAGCCAGTGGGTAGTCCAGGCCAGCCAAGGTGGGTGACAGCGGGCAGAGGGAGGAGACAGTGATGGGGGGGGGGCGCGTCACCGCCTTGATAGTCCCTCCAGTTGCTGCAGAGGAAAGCCACCAGCAGCAGTGGCAGCAGTGGGGCGATGGGGGGGCAGTGCTGGCCACTTGTGGCCTGCTGGCGCTGTCTCCCAATTGGCCCGCCAGTCACCTCCTGTCACCTCCTGCAGACAGGGAGTGGGCCTAAGCCGTCAGTCGGACATTCCCCAAGGGCTCCTGGACTGTGAGAGGGCACAAGCCAGGCTGAGGGACACCCCCACAGTGCACGAATTTTCATGCACCGGGCCTCTAGTAATCAATATTGAGAGAAACACACTGGTAGTTCCTTTGCTGCCTTAGATCACTAGGCAAATGTGAGTGAGTACAGCTGAGTCAAGGAGTGGGGAAGTTTGGGGCAAATGTCAGAAGCCTTCTCTAGATAACACTGACTCCTGTCCGCTCTTTACCTGGGCCTTCCCAGGTGGCTTTGGCACTTCCGCCTCTGTTCTGTGACATTCCATCTTTGACAGACTAACTTAGAAGTCTGGTAGTTAAATAAGCTCATAAAGTCAGTAAAAAAAATGTTTTTCTACTGATACTAATCAGCTTCCAAGTTCACTCAAATAATCTTAAAGCCTAATTTAAAATACACAACCCTCCAAATAAATCCCTCATCTGTCTTTATTATAGTTTAGCTTGTAATTAATCTAAGTGCCTACCACTTAATGCATGACTTTATGTGACAGGCATTCTGCAAAGGGCTTTATGTATATTACTTGTATGTATTATACATATATTACATGTAGTATTTCATGAGATCCTCACAACCACTAGGGGTGGTATCATTATTCCAATTTTATTGGGGAAGGAGCTAAGCCTCAGAGACGTCCAGTGTGCCTCAGAGAGAGCCCTTACTGGTGAGGGGAGGGGCGATGAACATCTAGGACTGTCTGATGAGCCACACAGCACTTCCTGTCACTATTAGGAGTGGGGAGTGTTGACCTTGAACCATGGACCCACTTCCGTAGTAGCTTTGTTCCTTAGCCTTCTGTGGTTCCTAAGTACTCACTGAACACTTTCTTTCTTGATATTCTTAAATACATAGTTTATGGACATCCTCTTTGTATTGCAAAGTGAAAAGGAAGGGGTTGCAAGTGATGGCCAGGGCTGGCATGTCATACAGGCTGAAGCCAAGGGTGAAGCCCCACCCTGGATCATAATGACATGGATAAAAATAAATCCCACGGCAATGAGACATCTAGGCCTTTTGTTGGCTGCTTTTGAAGCACTGAGTTAGTTTGGCTTCTCAGAAGGCCAAATAACTCAGGTCAGGCCAAGACTGATACAGTGAGCCACATCTGACCATGTGAATCAACGAGGTGACTTAGAGTTCACAGGAGCTGTAATTCAGCAAGTTCAGATCAGCAGAGAAGTGCTGTCCCCGAGAGAAGTGCTGCTCACATGGCCCTCCCTTCCTGTCACCCCTAGTGATATTCTCACTGCCAGGACCTCCCCTACTTAGAACAGAGCTTCACTGACAAACCAAAGTACTCACAGTTTTCATTTAAATTGGGTGGCCTGTCCATAATAAACTATTTCAGAGTTCTTAGGGTTTTTCAGAGGAATAGCAACTTTTCTTCTTACCCTTCTTTTCCTCGATTGTGGATGGCTAGTTCTTCACCAATGCCCTCTTCCTCCTTGAAGCTCTCCCAGTCCAATTTGGACTTCTCTAGGGTGCTCATCTTCTGCTTCTTGGCTCCAATTTTTCCCAAAAGGCTGCTCATTCCACTGGATCTTTTTAATCTAGGGAAAGCGAAAACACGAAACATGTAGCATGTGAAAACTATAATCTCTTGATTAATGGTTTTTCTGATTGGCATGGGGCTCCCTGGATTCAAGTATTTATCTTAATGGGACATGTTTGGATCTAGGGTACTTCCTGTCTAGTATGGAGAACACGTCAAATAGAACAGAAGCCTAATGCACTTTTCCTCTGACCGCTCAAGGACCTGGGGACAGAAAATCCTGAAGACCTCTGTATGCTCTGACAGGTCTCTGCTTGCAAGGATGGAGAAGCAGAGCATGATTCAGACACGGCTTTAGGATCACATGCCTAGGTTCATATTCCAGCTCTAACCGACTTGAGGCTAGTTATTTAACCACATCTGCCTCGATTTCCTAATCTACAAAGTGAATAGTTACTCATATGCTATAGAGTATCTTACTCGTAAAGTGCTTAAAACAGCACCTGGCACAGAATAAAGGTGCAATACATGTTAGCCATACTGAATCATTGTCGTAATTTGTGGACTAAAGCCCCAGGGAATTCTTTTAAGAGAAAGAGAACCAGATCCCAACAGTGATGATCAAGAAGTCACATATCTTATAAGGATTCTGAGATCAGTTTCCTTTCAACTCCTGTGAGTCAGGGTCCTGGTTTTTCCCAGGAGGTGGAGAACATTCCTTACCCTGAAAGCAGGGAATGTACAGCCTGTGTTCTATTTGCTGGTGCTGCTATCATGGACTGTGGGAGAAACCCCATATGCCCAAGTTCAAGTCTTGGCAGGTCAAATGTTTCCAGTCAATGTTATGCGATAAAATAAGAGAAACAGAAAGCAGCTAGTCAGCAAGAGGTGGTATTAGGGGAAGGATACGGCTTTTGGCCTCTTCATGAAACTAAGACCAGTAATATACCAGCATGCAGGAAACTGGAAGTTATTTTCTGCTTCCCTGGAATATGCAAGAGAGTTAAAGCATTTAAATGCCTCTATGAGCTAACAACATCATAAGACCTACTGATAACATCAATAACTTTCACTTGCCCAGAATGCTGATTCTCCAAGTGCCTTCATAAACATTTTCTTATCTTATTCCCCCAATGGCCTGTGAAAGAGGAGCACTGTGTCTCAGAGTTGGAGGAGGAGGCTTCGGGATGACCCTGTGTCACACTAACCATTCTGAAACCCCATCTCCCTGCAACACAGAGCTGGTGAAGGATGGGTCTCTGTCTCTGCCCTGGAGTGAGCTGACAGGCCAGTGTCCACACTGCACACAAGATTCTTGGGGCTGAAAAATTCCCCTCCACACTCTCATTGTATTCATGTTGATTGAGAGGATGTTAGCTTCCCTGTTGTGGTCCTATCTCATTACATGCTGTTAGCTTCAGATCAACTCAGAATAGGCGGGGCAGGCATCCTCATCTCAAGGCTTAATAAGAATAGTTTTCTTGAGCTGAACAAATAAACAAAGTTTGAAGAGGTTAAATGATACAACAAAGGTCAAACCAATAGAAAATGCAGACCCAGGCAGGACGAAGCAGTGCACTGTGCTATTTCGCCTCTAAGGTGAGAATTTACTTGAAATATTTTGACAGCTATTTTACTTCTCAATTTGCATGAGGATTTTCCAAAGGGCTCTTTATGAGCTTTCAATCATGTTTTCTAAAAATTCTTTCCCTACAACAATCTCTTCATCAACACACACACACACACACACACACACACACACACACACACACACTTTTACCAGGAGCAGAGCATGATTAGAAACTAAATATGTTAAGTCTTTTTACTTCTCACCTGCCTCACCGTCACTAACTTGGTTCACATTGTTATAGCCTTTCACCTGGATAATTCAGCAGCCTCTTCAACCATCTCCCCAACTTGCTCTATCCTGGCATCTATTCTACATGCTATCATTAGAATGAATTTTCTAAAACACAAAGCTTACCATGTCTTTCTGCTTAAATGTCTCTTTCTGGGCCCCTATTGCTCTCATAATAAGTCTAAACTCCTTAACTTACAAGTTCCTCCTGATCTTCTCTTGCCACCCCTAACCTTGAAACCTATGCTCCAACCTATGCTGAACCTCTACCTCACCTCTACCTGCCTCCAATTCATCTGGCCCTGTCTCAGCTTAGAAACCACTCCCTCCAGGAAGCCTTCCAAGACCCTTCCCCTCATCTCTAGATTAGCTATCTCCTAGTGTTGTTTCTATTGCACCCCAGTCCTTTTCCTATTATAGCATGAATCCTTTCCATAGCAGATGCTCGAGGACTCTAATTTTAGCTGTCCCCCACACTGGTCAATTCTGAGTAAGCTCAGAGTCACTGCTGACAACATTCCACCAAAGCACACACCTAGAGGCTTTCCATTTCTGACTGCGGGGCCTCCTTTGACCCTGCCTACGTGTCACAAGCAATGCCTGCACATGTGGTAGAGTTCATGCCATTGAGACCACCCTCATGGAGACAAGAGCTGGTGGCCAAATGGCCCAGTCTCCTGTCCTCACACAGGCAATTCTGGGAGATACTCTGAATGCTTCTCAGAAGTTCTGGTAGCATTGAGCCCTCGTGGCCTTGGAAATACACAATTGTATCGGCTTTTCCTGATTCCCTATCTCACTGTCCCACCCCCTACCCCCACTCCTGCTTGCTGGGATGACTTCCCAAATAACCTACCTGCACTTAAAGCCTTACCTAAAATTCTGCTTTGAGAGGAATCTAAAAGGTTTAAGAGAAACAGGATTTTCCTTATGTGGATACTTCAAATCTCCCCAGAGAACATGGATATAGTTCTGCAAATAGCAGGCACTTGATAAACCCAATAATGTCACCTAGATCAAAGAACCAATCAGTGGGAGAGAAGCAGCTCTTTGTAGAATAAAAAGTGTTCAAAACACTTTTAAGTCGGGGGACTCTAAGGGGAGCAATTTCCACTTGTATTCACCCATCAGCTCTCAACAACCAGTTCCCCACTGTATCGGGGCAGCATCAGGCTTGGACACCATCTGTGCCCCTCAGCCCACAGCTCTGATATTCCCAGATTATACCACCTTTCCCACAAATCACTTTGAGAAGTCTATGAGAGAATGATTTTTTGCTGCATAGCAGTGAAGAGACTTCCAGCAAAGCAAAAACCCATAACCAGCCCCCCGCCCCCCTTTGCCTTGTTCACCCTGAACATCAGCACAATGTCACCTGTGCTATTATGCTTTAGGGGAAAGCTTCTAGGTCTGACTTCATTGGATCATTAACATGGTTTGTAATTTCCTAATTTGATAGTCTTGAAAGCAAAATTACCTGTCTTTTATTTGAAGCTAAGTCAAAGTGAATGACACATTTATAGTAGCAGCCAGGACGCACAGAGGCTCATCGTAACAGAGAGACCGGCACTTTCTTCCTGGAACCTGGCATGTGGGGTCCCTGCAGGCCTTCCAACTCCCACTCACTCTCCCACCTTGACAGGGAGCTTTAGTGGCATAACCTGGCGACATTCCATCACAGGTCTCAAAAAGCAGGTTTACCCTGGCCCTATCTCTGTGTTAAGGTTCACCTATCAGACTTTCAGGAAAGCTGAGGCATGCAAGAAGGAATCAGCTCTGGGCAGGGGTTGCTGGCTCTCTGTGCTGTGAAAGGACACTGCAGAGGGCACTGTGGCAGTACATATCCGTCTCTAAGCACTGTGGTGAGTTGAAAGGCAGTAAATCAGCACAGGTTTCCCATAGGCATTTGCCAGCTGTGTAGACTGCAAAGCTGTGGAGAGGGAGGCCAGAATTCCCTTGGAGACCTATTTGCTGTCACCATGAACTGATGCAGTTCCAGCACCACTGATTTTTCTCTGTTCTGAAGCCTAAGCTGTAAGGGCAAGGTACTACCGAAAGATGGCTTTCACAGACCACCTCCAGCCCCAGCCATGGATTTCTTGGTTTTGCTTCTAAAGTGTGGTGAGCTGTGTCAGAGAAGACCGTAGTACTTCACTCAAGAGAATCCTCACCCACCTGTTGCAAGTCAAAGTCCAAAGAAAGGCACTGTGCACTAGCTCACTCACAGATGACATCCAGAATGTTATACTCAGACATGTCCAGAGAATTGTTGCCAAGATGTTTTCAATGTAATAATGATATTTCAACCACCTCCTCCTGAATATCACACTACTCCATTGATCTTACTAGCATAGTTCGATGTAAACACTAATTCTGTCTGAGGAGCAGGGCTTTCAAGCTAACCAGCCAGCTTCCCACCACAGAGAGAGCATGGCTGAGTGCAGCAGGCATTCTGGTGAAAGACACTTACCATGCTTTTTCTTCTTGTGTATTCTGTCCAGTTTTCTATCAATCAGCAATTATATCTTCAATTCCCTTCCCACCTCGCCCAATGACCTCACCCAACACCAGATACCAGCCAAGACCGCACAGAAAACAATTCAGAAACTCAGAAAAGGAAAAGGGACAAAAAAGATAGTTGTCTTTTTCATCTCTGAATCCAAAGTTTACAACAATAATTTGCTAGAATTTACTGTTTCTCTTTAGCTCCAGAAATGTAAGCATGAGAATATTGATTGCAACTAAATGAACTCCATCTGTCATAAAGATATTATAGTGTTTGCTTGGCTCCAGCCCATGAGCATGGACTCAGGTTCACCCAAATTGTAGCAATAGCACTCTTCTATATGGCCACCCTCAGTGAGGTACTGGAGCCTGGCTAGTGTGTCTCAGTGGTTGAGCTTCGACTTATGACCCAGGAGCTCAAAATTCGATTCCCGGTCAGAGCACATACCCGGGTTGGGAGCGTGCAGGAGGCGGCCAATCAATGATTCTCTCTCATCATAGATGTTTCTATCTCTCTCTTCTTCTCCCTTCCTCTCTGAAATATGGAAAAGTAACTTTTTAAGTGGAACTAGAAAAGATGACAGAACACAACTGGCTGTGAAGGCTAAGTGGGAACATTTTCCCCCTTATCTTTAAAATGAGCTTAAGCACCCAGTCATCCCACAGAATAGACTTTTAGGTTTGGGGGTACATTT